GAGGTGAGGTTCTCTAGTTGAATATAGTTTTAGATATTTGTCTAGTATTCTTGTAGATAACCATCTAGATATATATGTGCTATAGTGCATAAATTCTCTTCTACTCAGATTAGGATTTTTCTGTTTGAAGGATAGAAATGTAAGTTGGGATGGCAGAAGCAGCCCTCTAATTGGAGACCAGAGCACAGTTGACATGCAGGGTGACTTGGAATATAATAGGGTGGGTGATTAGCTCTCTCTTCTTAAACAGGGAAAGCTAAAGGAGATGGGGAAAAGAAGGCCAGGCAAAGAAACAGCAGGTATCCCATCTGAAGAACAAGGGAAATGGGAGAGAGGAGTGTACATTGCCATATTCTCCTAGAGCAGTTTTGCCTGGATTGGGCCAAAAAGAGATGCCAGCTAAACCTTGATGTTCCTGGAATTACTACTGCCACTATCCTGGAGTCCTGGCCTGCCTTCAGTAGTTAAGATGGAGCCACAAGGTGGTGCCAAACCAATATGAGACTCTCACAGGAATCACAGAGCTCTGCCAGCCATGCTGTTAATCTTGCACTAACATGATTCTGTTTAGGCCCCACTGATTATGTTAGGGCAAGACTTTCTGTATCACTGGCTCTAACTGTTGGCCTCAGCTTCTCCACCAGACTGCCAGCTTTTAGGTGTCCAGGCCATTTATCCTTGTGTCCTAATAGGCAACAACACCTAGATGGTATGAATGCTTGTTGAGTTAAATTCAACCAAGAATTTGCAGCAGATAACATGGATAGCATGGCCTAATTCCTTCCCAGAAGTTAATTGCATGTGTCAGGATGATGAAAGTACTAGGGAGACTCTTGACAAATTTCTCAGATTTTGAGCATTTGAAAAACTCCAAAGGAGAATCTAAAACTGAATTCAGGCCTTTTTTCCTATCTTATAGAATTCTGGCCAAGTTTTGGCAAACTTAAATGCTGATGTTATTATTTTAGCCACTTTTACTCTATTAATTTTTTAATAAAAGTCTTACCCGTTCTCAGATGTAGGTTACAATGATAGTTAGCAAGCTGAGTGTTAAGTGGAAGCATGTTGCTTTCTAAAAGTCAAAATTGATCCATTCAATTATGTTTCTAGGTGCTTTGGAAATCATACATTGACTTTGAAATTGAGCAGGAGGAAACTGAAAGAACACGAAATCTTTACCGACAGTTGCTTCAACGGACACAGCATGTCAAGGTGTCCTGTGCTTTATTGATTTTGCTTTAATCAACAATTCTGAAAAACCATCTTTCTCTATTTTAAGTGTGCTTTATTTTTTTAAAGAAAATTTATTTAAAATGGATTCCTTGCGTTTGGAGAGGATTTCAGAATGTTGAACTTGTACTGGGTCATTATTTATACTGCATGTGGAATATCTTGGATATTACAGAGCTTAAAAAAATTTGAACTCTTCAGCATTTTAAGACTATGTCAAATACTAATTGGTTACAGAAGTAGATTGCTTTATTACTTATGTGGAAATATATATTCAGTGTTACTATAATTTTTTTTTTGAAGGTTTGGATCAGCTTTGCTCAGTTTGAGTTGTCTTCTGGAAAAGAAGGAAGTGTGGCTAAATGCAGACAGATTTATGAAGAAGCTAACAAAACTATGAGAAACTGTGAAGAAAAGGAAGAGAGACTTATGCTGCTAGAATCCTGGCGAAACTTTGAAGATGAATTTGGAACAGTATCAGATAAGGACAGAGTAGACAAACTCATGCCAGAGAAAGTTAAGAAGAGAAGAAAGGTCCAGGCTGATGATGGGGTAAGAGCTGAGCTCTAGAGCTGTTTACCACCTAGTGAATTAGTAGAAATGCATCTGACTGAACTTTGTGCTCTAAGTGCTTAGAAAGCGAGCACACAACCAGAGGAGTCACTTGCAATCTGGCTCTTAGAGAAACACAACTGGGTAGAGAATGGGAGTGGCAAAGGCTTCTTGGTGATTGAGTCTAGTAATTACATGAAGTGTGATAGTTCTAGAGCAGTAGAACTGTAAGCAGGAAGGAAGTTAGTGAGGAAAGAAATAAAACTCAACTTAGGGACCAATCCTGACAAGGTGTTGTAGGGTATAGGAAGGAGTTTGGTGGGACTCATTGAAGGTTTTTATGCGTAAAACTGACCATATTGTTGGCTTCTTGAGGGACTTACAGCTGTAGGGAGATTACCTGTCAGGAGGGTGGTTTGGGAAGCCTGTGAAGGAAGGGTGGAAGCTAGAATGACAGGGCCTGTTAAAGCAATATTTGGAATTGAAACCAGCCCATTGGAGGTGAGAATGCATGGTCAAGTTCAAATAATAATGTACAGATTCATAGTTATAGTCATTGTTACTGGGTATTAAGTAAAACTCTCAGAATCTTCACTGTAAGACTGCAAGATAGAGTTGGAGGAACTGATTATGTTGGTTGTCTGTGGAGGAGCTGAGCTTAGATTCTGAGTTTTCCTCTGATACCAGGTTCAGTTCTCAATGAACTGCAGTTGCAGCAACACCCGTCCAATAACAGCTTATTCACTGTGCATCTTTGCAATTGTTCCTTCTGTAGTAGGTTTTGATATTTTGTAAAATGAAATTAATTTGAATTCTAGGTTTCCCATTAAAAACTCTCTATTTTACCTTAAGATGTGAGTATTTGAACCATGTGTTTGCTTACCTTGTTTTATTTCTGTAGTCTGATGCAGGCTGGGAAGAATACTATGACTACATCTTTCCAGAAGATGCTGCCAATCAACCTAACCTCAAGCTTCTGGCGATGGCCAAACTTTGGAAGAAACAGCAACAGGAAAAGGAGGCTGCTGAGCAAGATCCTGATAAGGACATTGATGAGAGTGAATCCTGATCTTTTTTTCATATTAAGAAGTGGTATATGATTTTTATAAACTAAATAGTTTGGGACTTTCCTGACTCCTGTAAGTTTTTATATATTTCATGAATAAGGAATTGTTTGGAATCTTTGACAGCTTTTTGAATTATTTTTAAAATGCTCTTGGATTAGTTAGGGGTAGGAAATTGCAAGTAAAGGAATTTTTTAACTGCTGAATTTCTTTACTCAACTGAGTCTAAACTTTTCTAATGTTTGTCCATACCGTTCATTAGGAAATGTAATTAATATTTAGCATCTATTTTAGATGAATCTACAGCCTTTTGAGTCCTTTAAAGTTTTCAGAGCCAGATGCTGGTGGTTGAGGCCTGTAATCCTAGCTACTCAGGAAGCAGAGATCAGGATAGCAGTTTGAAGCAAACCCTGGGCAAATAGTTCTTGAGACTCTATCTTGAAAAAGCCAATCACAAAAAAGTGCTGGTGGAGTAGCTCAAGCTAAGAGCACCTGCCTAGCAAGCACAAGGCCCTGAGTTCAAACCCTAGTACTGCCCCCTGCCCCTGCCCCCCAAAAATTTCTATTTACAGTCTATAGTCATTTTTCAGGTGTAGTTTTCTCATGCTTGTCTTCTTCATCAAGATGTTATATATCCATTTGAAACCCTTTCCCTGTCTTAAGTCACATAGATTTAAGTTCAGTTCCCCACACTGCCACTTAGTGATTATGTATCTTAAACTTTGATTTTGTTTCCTCAAGTCATAAAATGAGGTACTACTTTGACAGCTCATTTTGAAGATAGCATTAGAAAAGGAATATACCTCAGTAAATTGTTTCCTCTTAGCCACTTCCTTAAATATATTCATTCCTTATAGAATTGAATGTGTTTGGGTAATTTAACATCTAATTATCCTTATCTTCTTAATAGTGGCCAGCTATTCTAAGTGCTTTTTAAAACATGACTTAGTAATTTGCCTTGATAATATTTCTGGACAAAGTCTCTTTTATTCACTAAGACCATTTTGGTCTGATTTTAGTTATACTCTCATCAATTTCTTAAACCAGTTGAACTTTGTAATAGTTTAAAGAACAGTGGCTTGTTTATGTATATATGCTGTGGAAAAAAATGCCATTTTTGGACTGGAGGTGTGGCTCAAGTGAGTGCCTGCTTTGCCAGCCCAAAGTACTGAGTTCAAACACCAGTCCCACCCCCACACTCCCCAAAGAAAACATGCCCATGTTCAAATAAGCTTGGAAAACTGAATTAATGCTTAAAACCTTGTTGTTCAAGTCTCTATATTTAGTGTCCTCGGAGGCTTTGATTTGCTGCTATATGGTATGAATCTTTATCGCAATGATGCCATATTGTTTCCCAAACTTAGTGGACAGTGGGGCTTTTTCTGCCCTAAGTGCCAATGATCATCTCCCAGTGTACTACAGAAAATACCTATTCATAACACCCGACATGTAAACTTAACCTTGGTTTACAGCTTGTGAAAAACACCAAGTAACTACATGCTAAATAATGAAGCTTAAAGTACCACAAGAAAAACAGATTTGCTAGTTTATTGCTCACATTCTTAAAAAAAAAATTGAATTAAGAGATCTGAGTTATTATTTCAACTTGGCCTATATTTCTCAAGCTTTTTTTTTTTCATTTTGTTCCCTGCCCAAGGACTAGAACTATATTTTCAAGAAGTTTTCTACCTATAAAAGACCATTAGTGAGCAAATTTATTATTAAATGAATATATTCAGCCATGGAAATAAAACCTTAATAAAGTTACTAAACTTATTTTGAAAATAAGGGTAGAAGAAAATAGGACTATAGGATAAATAACCAATCAATTTTCAGCCTCCCTGGTTTAATCAATAGACCAAAGTCAGACTGTGGAGTGTCAGATTGATTCTGACTAATATTAATATTTCTTGGCTAACTACAGAGTTAAGGGGTGAGATCAAAGCCAGTCAGAATGCTAATACTGCAACTAAATCAGTCTTCCTAGAATTATCTGTTCTCTTTATGCTGCATGTATGCATAAGCAAGAAAAGTTAGTGATTATGTTCTCAAAATTGTCATGCCAGGCATGGTGACTCATGCCTGTAATCCTAGCTACTTAGAAGGTGGAGATGGGGAGGATCATGGTTCAAGGCCATCCTCCACACCTGTCATCTCAGCTATACAAGAAGTGTAAATAGGAGGACCATAGTCCAGGCCAGCCTGGCAAAAAACATGAGATCCTCTCTGAACAATAACAAATAAAAAGGGTAGGTGGGCAGGGTTCAAGTAGTATAGCACCTGCCTAGTAAGAGCAAGGGCCTAAGGTCAAACCTCCTATATTGCCACCAAAAATTGAAGAAAAAAAAAAAAATCACTACAAGCTTGTGCCAGTTGCTTGAAAGAAAAAGATTTTCTCTCATGGGCAAATCAGCATTTTTACTCTCCCCAACCTCAACATCACCAAAGTAAGACTTTCTGCTTTTTTTTGGTGTGTATGTGATACTGGGGGTAAAACAGTAAAAGCTTTTTAACCAAGTGTGGTGGTTATAAACCTGTAATCTACTCAGGAGGTTAAGGTCTTTAAAAAAAAAAAAATCTTTAAAGTAATCATTCCATATGAGCTTTTCTTTAGTTACTTCCTTACTCTGGACATTTTCAGATAGTATTAGTGATGAAATTACATGTAAAAATACATGGTCAGCCTATAATCTAGTTATATGGCCTTTCTGTAGAGATCAGGTTCTTTTTCCTCTTAAGAAAAAAATATAAATGAAAAAACCTGGCCATCTTTTTATAGTTAAAGGCAGTATGTAAGCAAAGTATTAACAGAAAAGATACTAAACCATTAGTAAGAAAATAGTAGCTGGGAAGAATTTACTCACAATAAGAAGGAAGCTTAAATGTGCTGTGCAGGAATTATTTCAGATGCACATTTTAAAATGTTTTATTAAAAAAAAACATAAAAGAGATCCTAAACTATCCCCTTTCTTAATCCTGATTTAGTTGTATAAATGACCCACAAACTTTGAGAAAACATTTGTAGTCAGCAATGTATTTTATTATACATCTTAGATTTATACATTTCATATATGCTTTTAAAGTTTCAATTAACAGTTCAATACAAAATAAAAAACATATTGTATGTGTGTGTGTGTGTGTGTGTGTGTGTGTGTGTGTGTGCAGCAGTGGTTCCCAGGCATAAAATTTAGGAGGAGGTTGGAGCAAGGCTTTTGCCCTGGCATACAGTGGATATTATGAACCATGATAGTGAACAGTTCTTTCAGACCTAGCTACCTTCTTGATTGATTTTTATTACAGCAAACAGCTAACTGGAAACAATGAGAATTAAGCTTACAGCCTGCATCTTTTAGATCTAAATGACTACTTGTCTCCTAATACAGCTCCAAGATCATCCATTGAAAATAACATTGTCCATAAAGTATCGGAACATCTGCCTAAGAACCACTGCCTATGGTTATTCAATGTCTTCAGGCCTTACAGGATGAGGGAGTGGGATGATGGATTTCTTCTCAGTGTCCCTGGAAAGTGCTTTTCTCATATCTGTTAGGAAGCAAAGTTTAATGTAAAAACTCAATAAGTGTAAAGTTCCTATAAGAAGTACCTGATTCTAAGAGATGTATTTATAAATGACACATCCAACTGCAAGTATATCAGATACTAACCAAACCCCATCTAGGATTCACTTCATCATATAAATGTTTGTCCTCATAAATGAAGTGATAATTTACAGAAATTAACCACTGGTTGGTTAATATACATTAACTACTAATAATTTCATAATGGTACATTAAGTGGTCAGGTGTGATTTTTAAATTTATTAAAATAGTATCTCAACCTGTAGAAAAAAATGTAACTGTTTTGGCTTCCTTTTGGGAGTTACTGCTATGGAAGGGAGCTTACCATAAGCATCCTCATCAGGCTCCCCGTTGCTGGCTGAGTAGTACTCTATGACTGTTCTGTATACACTGTAGCCCAACTGCTTGTACATGTTGACTGCAACTTGGTTAGACACTCTTACAAAGAGGTCAACAAAAAATCCACCCTTTCTTTAAAAAAAAGGAAAATATTAGAATGTGCGAAACCCTATAAAGTAATAATAGATACATACTTTTAAAGCCAACACTTGTTTTTGACTATAGAATAGTGCTAACAACCTTGTAGCTGACTATATCGTGATAGCAATTTTTATTACTTAGGGCAATTATTTTGTGATACAAAAACATGACTTTTTTTTGCATGCCAGTGATTTAAGATCTATGTTACATGTTTCCGTAAAAGATGAACTCCCCCAGCAAAAATATTTTACAGTTTGTTATCTGTTTTTTAAAAAGTACTGCTATTTTATATCATAGTAATTGATAAGCTCATTTTACAGATTAGTCATAGCATACAATGTTTTCACCCATCTGCATAAATGGGAGGTTATGAAGCCCATGAGGCCAGCCCAAGCATAGCTAAAGCATGCTGGTAGCAGCCCTGAAGCCCCCAGTTCTCTCTAGTCAGTAAATTCCCTCACTCACTTACAGGTGGTCTATTACAGATTTACCACCTAATCATGGTTTCTCGTTGCCTAATGAAATCAGACTTTACACATTCCTCTCTCAATCAATAATGCGAGTTGGCCCTATGAGTAGCTCAAGTTTGTTCATGTTCACTTTGCTTAGCCTTCCATAGTGTGAATATACCATAAGCTGCCCACAGGCCTGATAAGCATTTCCAAGTTTATTGTAAACCACGCTACTACAAATACTTTCACTGAACATTTCATGGCACAGTATCTAATTAGGACCTATAGCTAAGAATGACACTGGTGGGTCATAGGGGTATACAAATCTTTAGCTTCCTTAGATAATTCCAACCTGTTCCCCGTCTGTTTGTTCCAACATACACTCCCACAAAAAAGGGCAAGATTCCATTCCCACAGTAGCAAGGCTTACTGCATCAGATATTTCTGCCCATTTTGTGGTATAATGGTATGTCAGTGTGATTTTAATTTGCATTTCTAATTACTAAACAAGGTTGAATGTATTTCTGCTTAGTGACCATTTAGATTTCTCCTGCACAGAACTTAGTGATCTTTAATAGCTTTTTCTCATAGCTGCTATTCTCTGTATTCTGGATATTCAGTAATTTGTAAGGTTTCTGCAAACATCCTTTCCCAATTTGTGGCTTGTCTTTTATCTTTAGGGTATCTTCTGAAACACAAAGTTATTCCACTTTTGTAAAGTGGAACATATGAACCTTCCTTTTACAGTTGGCACTTTTTATGACCTATTAAGTTTTTCTGGATTAGTGGAGTGGCTCAAGTACTACAGTGCCTGCCTAGCAAGCGTGACACCCTGAGTTCAAACCCCAGAACTGCAAGTTCTTTTTCTACCCTGAAGTCATGGAGACGCTCTCCTATATTACATTCAAAGGGCTTTTTACACCTACATTTTTAATAAATCTGGAACTGATTTGTATGTGGTAAGGTAGTAACTTGGAAAAAATTTTCCATATGGGCCCAACTATCTCACCAGCTTTACCATCTTTATACAATTGATTTGCAGTGCCACTGTGGATGTAAAAATTCATACATTCCTGGACAGGTTTCTCATCCTGTTCCACTTGTTCAAACAACTGATTGCTCTAGCACTAATACAGTCTTCATTACGAATTGATATCTGAAAGGGCACATCTACCTACACCTTGCCTCTTTCTCTTTTTTTCCCTTATGTTTCAGAATCAGCCTAATAAGTCCCACATAAAGAAAAAAATGGGATTTTGACTGCTGTTACATTGGATCTGTGGTCAGTTACAAAGTTTTTATACACTATCCTCTAAACCACACAAGCAGTTCATCTCTTCCCTTGGTAGGCCTCTGTAATGTCTATCAATAAAGTTTTATAAATGTCAGAGATCTGACACAGCTTTTCTTAAGCATGTCATGTTTTTGATGCCAATGGTATCTCTTTCTAGATTTTACTGTTTACACATTAAAATGCAATTAATTTTTATGCTGACCTTATCTCCAACTCTGCCTAACTTTTAGTTCTAAAAATTTATTTGTAGATTCTTGTATGTTTTCTATTTGTATAATCATATCTGTGAAAAATACCAGTTTTGTTCCCTCTTATCTTTCATTTTTCTTGCTTTCCTGTGCTCTCTAGGATTTTCAGTAAGTTATTGAAGAGTGACTGGCTCTAGACATCATTGTCTTATTCCTGGTTTCAAAGGGAAAGCACTCAACATCACTAAATATATTTACTGCAGGTTTTTTGTAGGTACTCTCTTTTTTCTTTTCATGTTAAGGATGCTCTCCCCTTCTATTTCCTAGTTTCTGATAGCTTTTTCTTATGAATATTAGATTATATCAAATTTACTTCATTTGATGAACAATTATTCTCCTTTAGTATGAAATTAAAGCAGCCTTGCTTTTGAATTATCATCCTTACATACTACTGAAACCATTTACCCAGGATTTTTGCACCCAAGGAATGGGATTTCCTCAGAACATCCTTTCTCACATTGTCAGGTATTGTTGTCAAGGTTATCCCAGCCTTAATAAATAAAGAATGCTCCAAGACTCTTTGCTTGTGTTATTTCTTAAACATTTATTGAAATTTGTGGAATAAGTTTAAGCTACCGATTGAGATCCTTTAAAGGTAGGAATCAGCCTGCAACCTATTTTTCTGTACTACCCTTAAGCTAAAAATGGTTTTTACAATTTTGAAAGGTTGTTTAGAAAAAACAAAAACTATGCAACAGATCTGAGGTGTCCTGCACAACCTAAATATTTGCTCTCTGGCCAAGAAAAGGTTTGCTGACCTCTGTTCTGTATCCTTAACCAATTTCTGCCTGATTGTTGATCTCACATTTGAACAACTTGTCTGTTTGTCCTCTTAGTTTTGTTACATTTTGGACTTTGAATTTATCTCACTGGGCACATGAAAATTTTAATTGTTACGTCTTCACCACGGATTTAAATCTTTTAACCATATGCAGTGACTTTTCTTTACTCTGATAGTAACTATTTAAGTATAATGTAACTATTATCAATATAAATGTACAAAATTTCTTTTGGCTACAATTTGTATGCTTTACTTTTACCTTTCTGTATCTTTAATCTTTGTACATATTTCCTGTAGAGAGAATACAGGTCTCTTCTGTGTGTGTGTGGTGCTAGGAGTCTTACACATGCTGGGCAACCACTCTACCACTGAACTACATCTCCAGCACCTCTGGCTGTCTTCTAGTCCATTAATATTTATCATTTTTAACTACTTATATTTAGATTCATAGCTACAAATACTTATTTTATCATTAGTTTTTTATCTCTATAAATTATATACTGTTTCTATTCTTAATGTATTTAAAAACACAAGCATACAAGCATGTATATATCTATCTACACATTCATACAAATAAGATAACTTTGAAAACCTCAGAAGCTAGCTGGGTGCCAGTGGCTCATGCCTATAATCCTAGCAAACCAGGAGGCAGAGATCAGGAGGATCGAAGTTTGAAGCCAGTCCTGGGCAAGTGAGACCCTATCTCGAAAACACCCAACACAAAAAAAGGGCTAACAGAGAGCCTCAAGTGGTAGACTGCCTGCTTAGCAGGCATAAGGCTCTGAGTTCAAACCCCAATACCCCCCAAGATCTTAGAAGCTATCTAAAATAAGCTTCAAAAACTAGAGGGAAGGGAGCTTAGTTTTCTACTTAAGAAACAGAGACTCAGTTCTGTAAATACAGTAAGTCATACGTACAAGGTCAGAGCTAGTTAGAATCCATTTCCTCTCTTCCAGGCCACTACACAATAATGCCTTTTTAAAAATCAGGATGTCATTATTGTGTGTAAAGTCTACCTTACTAAAATTTTTCTTCACCTCCTTATTCAGTCTAGGAACAACTTTAAAGACTAGAGTTGACTTCATTTTTTGGCTAACACTATCTTTTTTTTGAATGAGTTCTGTTCTACTTGACTCAGAGCATTTGTGGCCACAGTTACTTCTTTAAATACCTGCCTTTATTAAATCCAGTAATTATGTGGAAAAGGCCTCCAGAGCCCTTCTCTACAATCATCCTCTTTCCAGTGAGACATTTTCATTGGATAAAGAAATGGTAGACATCTTTTGCTTCATCTAGAATGGAGATGAAAGGAGCCTTCTTTTTTAATTACTCTATTATTTCTATCTCAAATAATGAGGGTAGTTGATTCATACAACAGGTCTCTTTAAAAAAAAAAAAATAGCCATAATGTAGGTAATTACCAAACTCTGCAGTAAGTTACCCCAAACTCATAAAGGAACCACAGGGTATTTCAGATGTTCAGGGAAAACAGCAAAACTTTACGTGTCAGATACTGGCAAATTACCACTTTAAAGTAGTTAACAAATTCAACATTAAATCATGCCACATTCCTTTTGAAACTGGGTTTCTGACAGCTGCTATAATTTAAAAACAATAACTACAACAAAAAAACACTACCATGTGAAAATCAATAGAAAACAGACAAAGACATGGCTGAGACCAGTTACCAAGATCTAAAGTAGTTCAATGCCCAACAGGTGCATATCTTATTAATAGATAGCTATGGTTTAAAATAAAATAAAAATAAATTTTAGCTGGGTGTGGTGGTACATGCCTATAATCCGAGCACTCAGGAAGTTGAGGCAGGAGGACCATGAGTTCAATGCCAGCCTGACCTAGTATCAAAAAAAATCTGGAATTTAAAATTTTTATTTCTACTCATTTTTGTGAATAGCTACTAGCTATTAGAATATAAATACTTATTAAAATTAAGGCTAAATTTTTGGCCTAGTCTTTTGAACTACAAACACTGAAAAATTTACTGAGATGCCCAATGCAATCTTAGCAGAATTCAGGAATGTCTGCTGCAGTGGCAAGAACGTTCCTTGAAGGTTGGTCTTTGATGCCAACAATTTTGCAGCTTACAGGACTATGGCTGGTCACTCACTTTGCATGACAACAGGAACAATGATACCACTCTGAATAGGTGACAGAACTGTAGTAAGGACTATTGGAGGCTGAAAATGAAATTCCTATAGAGTGTAAAGCCATGACAGCTAACCGAGCCAGAAGGAAAAAAATATCTTACAAGTGTTCAACAGAGAAAAATACATAAGGTTCATAAATCACTAAGTATATCTGAAAAACAGGATCTTACCTTTCTGAAATCTCCTCTAATAACTCCATAAGTTTAGCAGCCAAACCAAGGCGTCGAAATTCAGGGGCAACAGATAGGGCTGTGACATGTCCATGCCATTCTTCTCTAGCTACTGAGCCTTCTGCTTTACCCATAACTGCCAACAAAAAAAGCTGCATTCAGTAATGAGACACATTGATTTACACACAAATACAGTTACTGTTTGGAGCATTTTTATTGTAGAGTAAATGACAAAGTTTTCACTTTTAAGTACTACTTGAGATCATCCAGCTAATAATGATAATTATTTTTGAAAATTCACCTGCAGATGACATGACTTATCTAGTTCTAGAGTCAGACTTAGAAAGTTGAAAAAATACACACACACACACACACACACACATACACACAGAGACAAAATAATTTTGAACAAAGGATCAGAACATGTATTTTTTCCAACATCTACATTTCCTGTGAATATGTGAGCATGTGCATATGTACATATAACTGAGACAATTCACAATTAAAGTTTTTGTCAGCAATGCAACTAATTCAATGAATATACAATCCCTAAATCATGTAACAAACAAGCCATATAGAAACTGAACATAAATATAGAATGAAAGATCCAAGTATACAGATAATGTCTGTCTGGTTCACTGCTAGATCCTCTAGGCTTAGCACAATGCCTAGAACAGAAGTGAACAGTACGGTGCTGAACAGTTGATACAGAAATAAAATTCCAGGCATCATGCGTACACTTCTAGTTCTATAGTCTAAAACAATGTTTGAAACCTGTATTAACATCTTAACTACCTGTCCAAAAAAGTACTAGTGGTATTATACTTACTATAACCCATTAATTCTCCACCAGGTGCCTCTGCAACGATGAAATACTCTGGCCAGTGGGCAAGATACTGTAAGTAAAAAGGAATCCCATACTGTAGTCCTGTTAAGGAGTGTGAAAAGTAATGGACGGTAAAAAGTTCATTAAAAGGCTATTCTGAGAAAGAGTTTCCATCAAAAAGCATACTAGTTGTTAATGTATCCTTCGCTCTAAATAACTGTGATTTCTATAATCATACCATTACATGAAATACTTGCATTAGCTCTGATTTTTTAACAAAATTACCTGAACATACCACCTCAAACACAGAATGGAGAAATCAAAAAAACAGGCCTCCAAAATGTTTGTACAATTTACTTCCCTATTGATAATACTGTACCAAAGTCTCTGCGTGGCATCTATCATCACTTGAGAGTCTTACTTGTTTACTGTGTGTCTACCCTTGGACTATGGATGTCAGGTTCACTCCACCTTTGGTGCTTGGCCATGGCAGATGCTTAATACATTCATGCTTCCATAATTGTGTTGGAAAATTAATGACTAATTCCTACTTTGCTCCAGCAATGACACTGTGAGAATAACTTTACAACCTAAGTCCTTCCAGAGGTAACTGTTTCCTCTGACCTTGTCTACTGTTTCAATTTCTAGTAACACAAATAAAGGTTGACTCAAGTAATCACGTATGTTATGAGTAAATGCCTGAATAATTTGCTCATTACTTAACTCTTCAACCCTGGAGTATCCTAATAGATATGTACTCATTTCTGTATTTCTTCTCAGCATAAGCTTTCTACTGCAGTTTTATGAGAGGACACCACCAAAACATTAAAAAGAGAATGTTCCTGGAAAACCTATTCAGTGTGAAATTCTCCAACTCTCCTCTAAAGGACAGTCATTACTTTGAGAACTCCTCAAACAAAACCTTTAACATGGCAGGCCTTCATCTTCTTGCCATCCCGCCACTGACATACACCATATCCATCTCTCCTCTGCCAAGCTGAGGAACCCCAGAAATGTCCCTGACCTCCTTCACCCTCTGAATCAACCACCAAGACCCAACAAGTTAGGTACAAATATGTACTTGTTTGAATTTTGAAGTTTTTACTGTAAAACTTTAAATGTCACTGGAAGCACATCTAAATTGATTTGCATTCTAACGTTTTCCCTTACTAAACAGTGCAAATTTTTCTGCCATTCAAAATTCTTCAAAAACCTAAAAATACAAATGAAAATTTTGAAGACTTTTTGCTTTTTTTCCACTCAACTTTGTTTCTGATGTGAAGTCCTCTTGTTCATACCTGTGCTAATTTTTACTTCCATATAGTATTCCATTGCTTGAAGAGACAATTTACGTATTATTTCTCCAGACAGGGGACATCTGTGTCATTTCCAGTTTTTTTTAAATCCTTCATAAATATAGCTTAATATATATAACCACTTCCTTAGTAAAGGGCCTTATGTGGGCCATAAGGTCTCTGTTGCATTTTACTCAAACTTGCAAAACCCACAGATAATATATACATTAACCAGCATGCATGTATCCCAATAAAAACTTTTTCACAGAAACAAGCAGTGAGCCAAATCTGGCCAACGAACCTTAGTTTGCCAACTCCTGGCATAAACTGCCACTGTTTATTATTATTTTCAGACTTCAGGAAATGGAATTATTAAGTATTACATTTCCAAAGTGCCTTCCAGATAAACTGTACCAACTGATACTGCCACTAGCAATTTATGAGAATGCTCTTTACCTCACTATCAACACAGACTTTTATCTTTTCTAAAAAATTCTGGGTAATGTGATACATTAAATATGGCTTCACATTTTGGTTTCAATTTGCATGCCTTTTGTCTAATGAGACTGAACCCTTAATATGTTCATTAGCCTCCTCTATGCCCTTTTAGTAAATTACCAGTTAACAGAAGACCCCTGTAATGTACATAGAACATAATCCAGAAATCCAATTTTGTTTTAAGCCACTGAAAATTGTGGGGTTGTCTGTTACTACAACATAACCAAGAATATCCTAACTTTACACATTTTTACCCATTTTTCTTTTGGGAGATAATAAGAGGCTGCTAACTGTTACCCAAATCCTTTAGTCACTTTAGTAACAAGTTCCAGTTTAAAGCTGGTCACATTTCTGGACTTCAGACAGGACTAGATAGGTGGAACAGGAGGCAGGGACTGGTTGATGAGATTCAGAAGGGCTGTGTGATGCTTCCCAAAAGTACCCTTAAAAGGGAGGGACACTCACCTACTCTCTGTGGATCCTGCTGCTAGAAATGCAGATGTGATGGTTTGCCTTGGCAGCCACTGGGAACAGGAAGACCAAGGCTAACCTGGGAATGGTACGGTGGATAAATAGCAAAGAGCCTCGCTACTGATGACTTCATGGAACCACCACCTGCCCTGAACTGCTTGTCACCTCCAGACTTTGTTCACAAGACCAAGAAATGAGCCATTTCTGCTCTGTACAGCAAGCTTACCATTGAGGAGCAAGGTGGGCAGGGGAGCTGTACGTTACTGACTTATGTGAGGTCTTTAGAGTAACAGTTTGTCAGGCAGATTTAATACAACTTGTACTCACTTGTTTCACTGCTTTCAATGTTGCTTATGCTGTTTTCCTATCTATAAGTTTTAAAATTTCTCCATTAAGTCTATTTTTTCCTTTTGTTTCTTGATTTTCTTTACTCATTATCTAATTTAACTTTTTTGTAAAGGATACAGTTTCTGTAAGTGGATCCAAGTTACTGAAAGAAACAAGAGAAATGTCAATAGTAAGCATTGTTCACACACACAAAAAATTTAAACTAAACTGCTAAAACTAAAAATAACATGCCACAAGGAACACATTTAAAACCTACTTTAGAGCCAAATGAAGATGGTTTAAAGTACCTCATTGCCATAATGAGCCGTCAGGGAAACCTACACATTTTTATTTAACTGCTTCTTTAAGAAATTATTTTATAGGTAGTAAATTCTATCAGAATCTTCCATTTTTGCATGGCAGTAAGTTATCAGCAGAACAGAGGAGCAACCAGGCACATATCTCATAGGACAGATGGTCAAACTTGCCTGCTGCCTCATCTTACCCTAAGGATCCTCCCTCCCGGCCTCTAGGCCTTCTTCACAATTTCTTCCTTCTTTTTTCCACCTTGTAAATGTGGGCACTCAGTTTTCACTTCTCCATTCCTAAATTCCCACCAACTCCACCCCTATACTGTCAATTAAGTGTTCTCAGAGTACCCCCACCCCCAACCTGGCTCTGTTGGACACCTCCCCATCACATCCAATCTCAGGATCCCCAAATTAGCATTCTTAAAATCCAACAATCCACAACCAACTTTGGCCTGTCACTTTCCTAGTCAGTTAATGAAATCATTATTTTGCCAGGCTCAAAACCAGATACTTTCAAGTGTCTTCTATCTCTAGTCAAATTCTCGATTGAGACTCTTTATTTTGGGGGGGGGGTGGTAACGGGGTGTTGAGCTCAGAGCCCCATGCCTAATACCACTGGAGCCACACCCACAACCCTTTTTGTTTGTTATTCGTGTCTCCTGCTTAGCTGGGACGACAGGTGTCCACCACCATACTTAGTTGATTGGTTGAAATGGAGTTCTGCTAAAGTTTTGTGAGGGCTGACCTGGAACCTTCAATCCTTTCATCTTCACCTCCCTCCGGAATAGCTAGGATTATAGGCATGAGCCACAGCACCCAGATGCTGATGTCAGTCATACTACATTTCTCTAGTCTGGCAGTCTAGTAGTTCTCAATCTTTTTGGTTTCAAAACCCTCTTTAAACTAAAAAAATTCTGAATTTTCATTTATATGGGTTATATTTTGTAACTTAAAATAATTAAAATAAATCACATGTCGACACAAATGATTTTACCAAGAAACCACTATATTTTAAAAAAAGCAACAATGGCATTGTTTTAACAGTGTTAGGTTTTAAAACAAGACAGCTGAATTTTTAAGCATTTGTAATGCTTGCTATTGAAAGATCACAATCCACTGTATACATTGGAAGAATAAAAATGAAAAGGCAAAAAAACCTTCTTAGCATCATGAGAGTAGCTTTGACCTTACAAACTGAAACAATCCTGGGACCCTGGCCCTCATCTGGAAAGTCCCCACTTTAATACAGTGCAGACTTGCTTTCCCACATTTCTTGGCTATTTCATATCCTCTCGGCTCACCCCAACTCTGCAAGAGGCTGCCCCCCTTCTCTATCTCATCACAAAGAAAATGTGGCAGTAACAAACTTTGCCAAAGTTCCACCACTGACCCTACCCACCTAGAAGCATCTGCACCCGATGCTGCTTGCTCTTTTGTCACCATGCATGCAGCGCCCTTGCCTCACTACTCAGAACCCTGCTCCTGCAACTCATGCTCTCCTGCATTTGGCAGGAGAGAAATTTCTGCCTTTCCTGGAAGAAATGCACAAACATGACACACTCTTAACCATCAGCAGCTCTTGACATAGTTCCTATTCTTTCTGTTTGAAATGCTCTCTTCACTTGGCTTCTAAAACCCACCATGAGTTTTCCTCTTACCTCAATGGAACACTCAATCTCCTTTATCCAGCACTCAACACTCTGGCATTTCCTAGAGACGTTTTTCTACACCCTTTCCATCACTGATAAAATTAGCCCCCTGGTCACCTATCACCATCTACATAGTATTGATCCTTAAAATTCTATCTTTAGTCCAGACCTGAGTCCATGTCCTGATACCTACCTGACCTCTCCACCTGGGTGTCTGAGTGCACTTGGCATAGAAGCCCAAGACCTAGGATGGTCTAAGGCCTAGGCCTTGTAACTCACTAACCTTGTCTTACACTTCTGCACTCACTCTACTCCAAGCATGATGGCTGCCATCTGCTATTTACATAGATGGGTCTCTTTGCACATATGTTCCCTCCACCTGGAAGATCCTCTGTTCACAGTATATACATGACTTAGGCCCTCACTACCCCTTGATCTTCCTTCAATGACACCTTTCCTGAACACCCTATCTAAAGCAGAACTCCCTCTCACTTTCAATTTTGTTATTTCTTTTTTTATCAAGCACTTACTTCTGTGTATCTACCTACTTCCTCTGTAAAATGTAAATTCCGTAAAGACATTAATATTTTTTCTTCTGTTCACTGCTGTGTCTCTAGAAGTGGTACACAGCAGAAGGTACTCAAACATTTTTCTAAGAATAAGTATGTGTGAAATTAATTGCAGTGGCCCACACACACTGCTTCTTTCAATTCCTACTTAACACCCAACCTGAGTGATTCATATTATTTCCTAACAAAATGACCTGCAATAGGAATGAGAAAGCCAGACTCCCTTATTGGCATATTCTGAAGAGATTAAAGGTGTCATCCTTCCTACATCTTCACTTAAAACTGATTCTCACTTCTTTCACCCTGACCTATTCTCATCAGCATACTTTCTCCAGAAATTACTTCCTCCTCACCAACATTTCTTCACCTTCCAAGGCTCACCTCCTCTTTAAAATGCTCCTAGTCACCTCATCCCAAAGTTCTGTCTGTCCTCCTAACATCTGAATTCCAACCATTTGGTCCTTAATTTTCATATACTATCCTATTGTTTTTAAAAGTGGATACTGGCTGATAGTGGTGGATCACACCTGTAACCTCAGCTATTCAGGAGGCAGAGAACTGGAGGAGGATTGCAGTTCCAGGCCAGCCCAGGTAAAAACTGGTGAGACATCATCTCAACCAACAAGCTAGGTGTGGTGCCATGCATCTGCCATCCCAGCTATGTGGAAGGCATAAACAGGAGGATTATAGTGCAAGTCAGCCTGAGCATAAAGCAAGACCCTATTCAAAAAAACAACAAAAACAAAAAGGACTTGAGTGGCTCAAGTGGTAGAGCCCCTGCTTCTCAAAGGTGAGGCGCTGAGTTCAAATCCCAGTACTGACCAAAAAAAGTACGGGGGAAGAGAATCTGGGATTGATGGTTGAACAAGAATGTGATAAAGCCAAGGTACAAAAATAACAACTGTACAACTACAGGAGCTTATGGTAAACCCTTTCAATTTTTTTAAGTGTTAATGAATTTTCAAATAAAATGTTTTCCAAAAAAAGAAAACGGTACTTGCCTCGATTGGGATTGTAAGAAACTGCACTCAGCTCCCAGCAGTTCTCCCCAAGAATCTGTCCCCAACCCTCGCAGACTCCTCGCAACAGAAAAGGGCTCGCAGCTACTCTAACTAAACTTCCAAACCACACACGACTGTGGCTGCTCGCCTGCGGTGGGACGCCATGATCACCCGGTCACTTCTTCAGATACAATTTAACCAATGTGCTAGTCCCCAACACACACTTAGCCACTGTTGCACCCTCGCACCCCGCTCTGAGGCAAGTAGTTAGTGGGGTCCACTGCACGAAAGTCACCAGCACGAAGGCTGCAGCACCCCGCGGGGCCGCTTCCCTCCCCCATCCCAGGGCATCCTGTCCACGTCCGGTAGCGGCCATCCGGACGCTGCCCGTCCCCACCTGCAAGCAGGGTTAGAGGAGGAAGGTGAAGAGCCTCGGCCAAGGTCAGATGGGCCGGCGCGCATCAGCCCCGGACCCACCCGGCCTCGAACCCCGTGGCCCCAAGGCAGGCGCTCGCGCCGGCGGGCGGGGGCGGCCCCCAGACCCCGGCCCGCTGCTGGGGTACGGCCAGGAGGGCGCGGACCGGGACCGAGCTGGCAGGGCCGGGAAGCGGGGCCGGGTCAGCAGCGCCCAGCTCAGGTTGCCTCACTCACATGTTGTTGAAGCGGAACAGGTCGTCACAGGTGAAGGCCCGGAGCGTGGTCATTGCGCCGCGGCCACTTGCGAAACCAAACTAGCCGCGATCGCACTCCTGTCCTGCCGGAAATCGCTAAGCGCGCGGCTGCTGCGGGCGAGGTGGAGAACTACTTCCGGGTCACAAGTTGCTCCAAAAGATGGCAGCAACGCAACCCCCTCTGGCGGCCGGCGTCGGGAATTGCCTGACTTCTTCCGTAAGGTCAGAGGGGTGGGTCTTGGTGCCCCACGTTTAAACGCACAAAAATAAAGGTGAAATTAATTTTAATAAGAATATATTTTATTTTACCAAGTATACCCGAACTCATCATTTCAGCATGTCATAAGTACAAACAATATTAATGGAATATTATATCTTTTTCGGTAATAAGACTTTGATATCTGGTGTGTATTTTATATTTGAGCATATTTCAATCTGAAAGCGAAATTGTCATCAGACATGCTTGTTCCGGATTCCTGTTTCAAACGAACCTATTATTGAAAAGCAGATTCACACATCCAAGTGGTCTCAAACGTACTATTTTCAAATAGCCAAAGAGGACATCAGTTTTTACATTTGAATTTAAGTTAGTTAAAATTCAAAGTTAAAAATTCCATTCTTCAATTGTGCCAGCCACTTTCTAAGTATCCAGTAACCCTGTGGGTGGTGGATAGCTTGGTAGGCATTACAGGCCCAAAAGCTTAGAAATGTGCACATTCTCTTTGATTTCAGAGGTTCTTTGCCCTCACTCCCCCTTGCTAAGATGTATTGAGGTGGTCTTGGGGGACAGGGTGTAGAGGTCAAACCAACACAAATACCTAATCAACGAGAAGCTTAATTCCAAGGCCCTCACATCTCTAACTCCTCTAGAACCCAAGTTTCTCCATAGGTACATCTTAGGAAACCACTGCCCAGACCTGTGGCTTAGGCATAGCAGGAGAGGAGAGAAAGCAAACGAGTGAAGAAGCAGGCAGCCCCAATAACAAAGATCTTATAAGTCCCAAGCTCAGCTCCAGACAGTGTTTTGAAAATCTTGACTGAAAATGCAGATATAACAGTACCTGGGAGTCTCAAATTTATGTCCACAGGTATTGCAGATGTAGAAGGGAGAATGTGACACCATGAGCTCAGCTACCACCTGCCATGCATTTAAACAAGGAGAAAATGTAGAGGCCATTTCATATCAGAAAATGTGCCACATTAAATGAATGTTAAAGGATAACTTTTAGGAAAGATAAAATTATGATTCTTATACAAATGTAAAGTGAATGTATGTCAAAGATGCTATCTCATTTGTTAATGAAAGAACCAGTAAGATCTGACAGCCTATTATAAGGAGAATTTAAAATGCACAAGGCACCCAGGAATGCTGAAATGTATGAAATACAGGAATGCTGAAATGATCAGGAAACTTCTCAGGGTCCACAGAACAGTCATACATTGCATCTTCACTGGACATGACACAAAACATTTAGATTTCTGTTGACAAGAATAATTTTCAATATAATCAACTCCTCTCCAGCTTCTACAGTTTACAGATTATAAAATATAGTAAGAGAAAATCTGAAAGTTTCTACTAGACAGACTTTCCAGTAATCATTTTTTATTGATCATTTCAAAGTATTTCATAATTTCATCTGGCATGAACTAATGTTGATGTGAATTTTGTTGGTTGTAAAGTTTTGATGGTTTTCTTAATTTTTTTCTGGTTCTGATTTATTTATACTATAAACATCAGAGATTTATAACTATGTTTATAGATATTTAGGTAATGGTATAATAAGCATGATTTTGATATTTTTTTAAACACTGTGTATTTAATACAAAGGCAGCACTTGACCCCTGCAGGTACTGAATGCTGTGGGACCCTAGTCTGTAACCGCCAATAGATGGGTGTGGTTGTGTACACTTGAAATCCCAGCAGTCAGGAGGCTGAAACATGAAGATGGGTGACACATGGCAGGTCATAGGGACATGGAAGAAAGCAAATAGAACATCAGCTGGACTTTCCTTTACCAATTCCCAAAGCTGAGCACTTCCTATGAATTTACTTCTCAAAGGGTGGCCAGTACTTGCCCAGCAAGTATCAATTGAATGACTGAATGAAAGGACATATGGATACTGTCATCCTTGTTGTAAAACCCAGCATTCGCATTATCAACCAAGGTATTTCACATCTCTGTGGCTCCTTTTCTATCTATAAAATATGCACAACCATGGAATGGTAAATGCCACATTTTAAGTGCCATTTAAGTGCTTGTCAAGGAAAATCAATGCAATGAAATATTTCACATATTTAATAATTGAAATTTTAGAATGTAAAGTGTAGGCAAGGCAAAACCCCCAACTATAGACACATTGGCAAGCTCAGTTCAGCAGTAGTAGCATGTCACAGTCCACAGTAAAGAATTTATGGCTTTGGAAGCTACCTCCCTTTTTTCTTACTGCACTCCATCCAGAAAAGCTGGAATGTCCACAAACATGTCTTTTGGGTTTTTACAAATACATCACAAGGCTATTTACATTTTAATGTTTAATAAAAAGGATCTATGCACATTTCTAAGAAATTATAGACTTGTGAAAATGTATACAGAAGAAAGCAACAAATTATTTAATGGGTACAACCCAGAAATAAACCATTTGTCATCCCAGATAAGCCTCAGACATCTCTCTTCTGTAGTTTAGGGGAGTGAGAAAGAGTCTTTTTACTTAAAAGGGGCTCAGATTACATAGAATAATATTACATAAAAGGCATTGCCTTAATTTTCCTTGAATGTAACAGAAGAAAAAAAACTGGTTTTTTTTTTTTTTTTTGCTTCCTCCAGATCTTGGACACTAGATCTTAGACTTCATTGGCTGAACATTGTGCTAGGGACCTGTGCCCAACCATCCAAGTAGTAAATCTGGGAACGGAATTGGCCTCCAACATCAGAAAGGAGTTACAACCCCACTCCACATGGTGGCTGTTCCCCCCATGTGGAAGAATAAAAGTAAAGGAGATAAGAAAAGGTGCAGAAGTCAGAATGAGAACAAATCTGGAAAAAGACATTAGTGTTTAAAGAGGGCAGGAAATCAAAATGTTGGGAAATGGACCATCAGAAGTGATCTGTTTTGATGGCGAATGGAGATTATATACCACATCAGAAGAACACTGAGAAAAAAAAGATTTGGATAAATACCCCAGACATTCTGTTGGTTGGTCTGTGAGACTGTCAGGATAAAAAAAGCTAATTAAATTTTTTTTTTGGCAGTGCTGATGTTTGAACTCAGGGCCTTGCACTCATAAGCGCAATACAATTTGAGCCACACCCCGAGGCCAATATAATTTTAAAGTGTAATGTAGTTGAAGCTAGCAGTCTGAAGGTACATGGAGAACCTCCAGACCACGGAAAATCAATGAAACAGACTTGGATCTGATGATGCAGTCCAGTCTGATGATACTGGAGATGCTGAAGATGACGCTAGCTGGGCTGAGCTCAATGTGTCCCATTCCATGTTTTCTGAGGATTGTTCTACAGTTGGGATCTTGGCTATCAATGTTAAGAATAAGGCTTCATTTAGCATGAGTATATTTCTGAAAGTCAGTTCATTTATCTTCATTTTTGAAAAAGTATTTATTATATTTCTTTGAAAACTGAAGATGCTGAGTTATCTTGACACATTAACATTTTGTTCTTTTAGATGTAATTTAGAGGTAAAACACTATAATACACACTGTGGAAACAAAAGAAGGACATGCCTTTGTATTTCTAGTAAATGAATGTTTCAAATTAATTATTTGGTTTGTAATCGTTGTGGATTATACTAAATCCTGGTTCCAATAAATCCGTTTACAGAGTATTATGTTTTAATCATCCAGATGGTCTCTTGAGATTTTTTTAAATCAGGTTTAAGGATGACATAAATCTGCATTTAGAGTTAGAGAAAGTGGGCTATCTTTTCATGTTTATGCGGCCATAAGTATTTTGTACTGACTTTGATATCATTTTATGTTGCCACCAACCAAAAAAGCATTTTCTTCTTATTTTTTTTCCTTCTACACAAATTTATTAGGTACACACTGTGTGCCATACCAGGGAAGAAGCTGGACAAGATAACAATTTACAAAGCAGCTATGGCCTTGCCCCCTGAAGCTCTGTCTAGCAGAGGTGCACAATCAATAAATGGCCCAGTGAAAGGCCTGGTGCTATGAAGTGAAGTGGAGAGTGGATGGTCAGGGCTTCTCTGAGGCAGTGGCAGGGAGGGTGGGAAGGCCCTCAGGAGGGCAGTGGGAGTCCAGGGCAAGAAGTCACTGGCAACCTAGAGTAGGAGGGGTGTGGCCAGTTCCCATTGACAGGCCCCTGGCCACAGCATGGGGACAGATAGGGCCTGTCCTGTAGGGCTAGTGGAGGCTGCCATAGAGGACCAGCACAGGACAATAGCCCTTCTCTTATATGAGCAACACAGGCCTGCAGTGCGGAGCTCCTCAGAGCCCTTCGCAAAAAAGCATTTTCAAATGTAATTTTTAAAGCCTGGGCAGCAACTTTGAGTTTATAAAATTAGTAGTTGTAGAAATTGAGTAGTAGGTGATAACCATTTATCTTGACATTAGAAATATTGGTATAATAGTTGGTAATGTTTTTCTTTAATTTTTATCCTTGTAAGGTATGCCAAAAAATAGAAAATGAAAAAAGGATGAGGAAATACATTCTTTTAATGTTTACATAGGAAAATTCAAAAAAGACAGTTTTGAATATCATAAGATTTTTTTTACTTTACAAAATAGATTGTGTAAAAAAAAAAAGATGCCATTTTCTTTTCAAAGTCATCCATTGTAACCCGCAGTTTGGGGCTTTATAAATAATTAAATTACAGCCAGCCAGGCACGGTGGCACACACCTGTAATATTAGTTACATGGGAGGCAGAGATTGGGAGGATCACAGTTTGAGGCCAGACCAGGCAAAAAAATTAGCAAGATTCCATTGCAACCAATGATTGGGCACAGTGGTGTGCATGTTATACCAGCTACACAGGAAAAGCAAATAGAAAGGCTACAGTCCAGGCCCTCGCTGGGGATAAATGCAAGACACTATCTCAAAAATAACGAAAATGAAAAGGGTTGGGGGTG